CCGGTTTCTCCAGGCTGTGTACACCTGAGCACAGTCCCCACTCCCGGGCCCCATGACATCTCACACGTGTGCACAGACATGCCCACACATACTCCCACCCCCTCCACGTTGTGAGTGCCCACTCATCTCCAGCAGGCCCTGGGTTGGAGTGAGTCCACCTGTCAGGGTCATCCCTGCCCTGCCTGTCTCCCTCCCTGCAGGTGGCCCAGCCACGAGCTGCTTCCCTTGGGCATCCACAGCGTGAGCAGGCTGAGGAGATGACCTGACCCTCAGTGTTTTCCACGCTTGTACCCAGGGTCCCCACAGCTTTGGTTTGCAGTGGGGAGGCTGAGGCTCAGGGACCAGGTGACTTGCCCAAGGTCTGCCGGTGGCCTCTGACCCTGACCCTGAGGCCTGTTTCCTTTAGGTCCTGGAGGTGCATGAGAACCTGGACCGGCAGCTCCAGGACAGCTGCGAGGAGGACCTGAGTGAGAAGGAGAAGGCCATCGTTCGCGAGATGTGCAACGTGAGGCTTCTGGGTTGGGGGCCGCGGACAGGCACTGGGAGGGCACCCGGGGCCACCCAGCATGGCCACACCCTTCCCTGAGTGGGACTCCATTTCTCGAATGCTCAGCCACAACAGGGTGGCTTTGGACAGCTGTGGGGAGGCCTTGGAGGCACTGGGAGCCCCGGCCAGTCATCACCTCGCTGCCCCCTGCCCCTCCCAGAAGGCCCCTAGTCTGCAGATCCGCCCTCCCCAGTAGTGCCGTGCTGGGGGTTCCGGATAGAGCCTTAGCCCCCTAATCCCTGGGACCGGTCTTGTTTGCCCCAGATGTTCCTGGGTGTCTGGCCCCTGGGCCTCCCAGCTTGCTGGTGCCGCCTGTGGCTGCTGGCTGGGCAGCTGGTGCTCAGAGCAGGAGGTCCGGTTGGAACCTTCCGGCCTACCAGGCTTGGGCCACCCAGGAGAGCCCAGTGCCCCACTCAGCTGGGCACCATCGGTGGTCTCCTTGGGTGCTGGCAGGAGCCATCGGGAAGGGGTTTCATAGGGTCTGAACCCAGGGCTTATAGGGGCGGGATGGGAGCTCTGAACTGTGCAGCCCCTCCCTGATATCACCTGGTGGGGCCCGTGGACCCTGCTGGACAGTTGCAAGGCCTGATAGTGAGGGTGGCGTGCAAAAACCTAGTGTGAGTATCTCTGGGCCTGCAGTGGCCTCTGTGTCCCTCCCGGCCTCATGGCTCTGAGGACACGGGCAGTTCTGCAGTGATGAGGCAGCAGGTGTGCACAGCTGGCGCGTGGACGTGGGGCAAGCCCCCTCACATCTTGCTCCCTTCCACAGGTCGTCTGGAGAAAGCTGGGAGACGCAGCCAGCTCCAAACCCTCCATACGGCAGCACCTGTCTGGGAACCAGTTCAAGGGGCCTTTGTAGGGCCAGTCTTCTGTGGACGTGGACTGGCCCCACTGGGGGTCCCCGGGGGAGTTTAAGGCCCCAGCCAATGCAGGACCTCCGGCCGAGCCCGTCTTCTTTCTCTGTGGTGAATTGTACATAGGACGCTGCCCACCCTGGCCCAGCTGCCACAGGTCCGATGCACCGGCCCAGGCCACCATCTCCCGCCTCACACACCAGCAACCTGAGAAGACGAGATGCTGCGACCGTAGCTACGGCAGATCGGCCTGGATGCCTCACTCCCTCTGGGACCCGGGCCTTGAGCTCCATGAGCAAGAGGCCGCAGGCTGCTTCTGAGATCCAGCCCAGGGACTGTCCAGGCTCCTGTGTCCCTCCTGGGATGGAGGGGCCACTCATCAAACCCTCTTCTCCTGTCTGCCACCCACACTGGACGGAGACCACCACTACCTGGGTCTTGCTGCAGGTGGCAGCCCTTCTCGCCCATCTGCTGTGGCCTGACCCCAGGCCCACCCAGCACTGACTCCCTGGCACTGGACAAGGCTGCTCCCTGTGTCTGTGGCTGGCTGGAGGCTGCCCTGGGCCCTTTCTGTGACCCTCAGCCCTGGAGCTCAGGGTCCCCTCACGCCTGGGGATCCATCCCCAGCCACCCAGTGCCAGCTGCTTCTTGCTTTTGGAGGTCACCCCCCTCCCCCAACACAGTCTCTGCAGTGTCCCCCGCCACCCTGTCCCCCAACGCACACAGTCTCTGCAGTGTCCCCCATCACTCTCTCCAGGCCACCCCCTTTTTGGGTTCCTCCTGCCCCACGCCTGAGGCATGCCCCTTTCTGTGGTTTACATGACGAAGGCCCTGGGGAGAGCTTCTGGGCTCAGCCACATGGGATTCTCCTGGTGGGCAGTGCTAGGCCTCAGCTGGGGCTCTGGTTGGCTGTGGCCTCCCCCAGGGACTGGCTGCACCTTAGGTCCCTGTGGACAGAGCTGTCTGGGTTGCAGGTGAGAGTTCTGCTCTTTTTGGGAAGGAGGAGGTCTGACCTGGTCCTGGCTTGTGTGACCTTTAGCAGTTCACGCAGCCTCTCTGGGCCCCTGGTGGAAACGTAGGTCTCTGAGGTTCCTTTCAGCCTTGCTTATGGCTCCAGGCCATCCAGTGCCACAGGGCAGGAGTCCTCACTGGGGGTGTGTGAGCCGCTGGCCGACCTGCTGGGGAGGCCAAGGGCGGGCCAGGCGGAGCCGAGTTCTGCTGCCTTGCCATCCTTGCTTCGGGCGGACAGTTGGTGTCCCCGCTCTGAGCCTGTGTCCTCAGCTGTAAAATGGGCAGCATAAGGCCCTCCTCACAGGATTTCTGGGGATCAAGTGAGCTCTTTGTGTAAATGACCATGTATAAACTGTAAAGTGCAATAGAAAATTTTGCATGTGAGGAAAATAAGGCCTAGTGGGGTAAGTGATGTGGCACATGACAGGTGACATCCTAGAGCTGCAGCGGGGACAGGCCACTCCCCACATCCGCATGCTGCTGTGAGCAGCCCTGGCTTATGAGTCCAGGACCTCACCAGGTCCTCGTCTGACTCCTTTGCTCTTTCAAGGGTGTTCAGAGCCCCACCTGAAGACCCCAGAGAGGCTGTCTTCCTACCCAGCAGGTCTCCGGCAGGCCTGAGGTGGGGACGCAGGCAGGAGGGAGGTGGCTGCCCTGTCCCTCTCCCTAGCTGGTGGATTCATTCTGAGCAGTTGTCGCTGCCCGTTTGCTCTCAGGGGAAAGCTCACGCCCCCCATATTAGCCCAGGGGGAAGTGAGTGGGTGCTGGTGATGGATGGTGTGGCGCTCCTGCTGTGGCTGTCACCAGGAGGCTCTTTGGGAAGGAGGGTCCCTCGGTCAGGTGGTGCTCTCCCGGTCACTAGGGGTGTACATATGAAGTTAGGTGAACACCTGCTGGTCATGGTACCCAGTGATTCTTGCCCACGTGGGCAGCTGGGCAGAGGCCCTTCTGGGTCTTGGAGTCTAATGAAGAGCAGAGCAGCCCAAGGAGTGTGAGTCAATTTTGAGTGGGAGCCAAGTCTGGGAACCTGTGTGCATCACGTTGGGTCAGGTTGGCTTGGCCACCACTGAAATAAGCAATAAGTATGGGCTCCTGGTACCTGTGGATCTCCTGCAAACAGGTCCAGAGAACAGCCTGGAAGCCACCTTTCCCCTCAAGGGGACGGACCCTGTCCTTAATGCTGCAGTGGCGTCCAGGGATCAGTGGAACATTGCTCTGAGAACCCTCCTGCCTGTTACGGAGACAGCACAGAGCTGGTGCCCCTGAGCCAACATGGCACTGGGATGGCTTTCCAGGACAGAACTGTCAGTGGCAGTCACATCTCAACAGCTGATTTTAAAGGCCAGCAGTAGCGACACCATATGCCTGAGTACAGGTGGCAGTTGCAGAGCACTGTGGGCGGAAAGAGGGTCAGACGGGGCCTCCCACGGGGAATCCTGGGGATGCTGCAGCTCAGGGTGACTACTAGCTCTGAAAGCCCCCAGTGGGGGTGCCCTTTCAGATGCCCCCTTTCCATTTCAAAGGCTCAGATTCTTGATGGTGAAGCTGGCCGCAGCACTGGCACCTGGCTTCAGTGTCCACCGTGACGGGTGGTCTCCTTTCTCGCCTCAGCCAGGCGGCCAGGCCCATCCTGGCCCAGAACATGCTGAGCACGTTTTGTAGGGGGGCACCTTCTTATCCAAGTTACTAGCTACACACCAGTGTTTAAAGAGAAAAAAGTGACCTTTCATTTTTTTTTCTTGAAACTTGAGGAAACAAGATACATACTACTGATTTTTTTTTTTTCTTAAGGAAAACAAAGTGCATGACTGCAGAGTGGTAGAGGTGTTTATTTTTCATACTGTGGGGGAGTATTTGTGCTGCTTTTCGGAGATGGACTGGAACATCTGCTTTCTGTCCTGGGCCCGGCAGCTACGTCTATTTTCTGTAGAAGGTGCCACCGTGAGACCCGGAGCCACCCTTTCCTGCCCTGGCACGGTGTAGAGCTGGGAGCCTGTGACTCCCGGCCTGTTTCTACCTTCTAGCCAACCACTCTGATGTGGGAGACAAGAATAAATAGAACTTTTTGATAGTGTGGTAAAAACACTGATTTGAACTATTTTAGTAAAAGGAGTAACAAGATTGTGATAGTGTATACTTTGAGCTAGATAAATAAAGGCCTCTTTGTGCGCCTCCTGGCTGGCTGCTCAGTGTGTTTCTGTCGTGGGGGGCAGGGCCAGAGATGGGCCACGGCCCCTCAAGCACCTCAGATGGGGGTTCATTCGGGGTCCCTCAGGGTAGATGGTGAGGCTGCTGCTCCTCCAACTGCCTCCGTCATCACAGGTGGGTTGGTTTCAAACCCAAGCCTGTGTCTGACTTCAGAACACGTATTCTATGCACCAAGGCAGGCACGGGACAGGCAGGCTGGCTTGGCAGGCAGCTGTGCCGATCCACCCAGAGTGCCTTGGGAGACACTGGGGTTGGCTCTCTGGCCAGGCCTCTCCTGGATCCCCAGGGTCCGGAAGGAGGAAACGGCCTTCTGCAGATTCTGTAACCCAGGGACTGCAAAGGCCTGCAGCCCCACCTTCCACCCGTAACAAAGAAAGGGATAGTTTCAGAACTGCTTTTATTTGGATAACTGACTGAAGGAGTCTCATTTGTAACCAAGATGGAATTCACAGTATGTTGTTGCATTGACACTTAAAAAATATATCTCTATGTACAGGAATTTGCAAATAGATGTAAACATACATTACTTTCCAAATACATTTCTCCCCTTCTCCCTGGAGGAAAGAGAAAAAAGCCATCCAACAGGCAACCCCTTCGAAACAATTTTAATAAACATCTATAAATGAAAATGTGGTTCCTCTGACCCTTCTGGGTGTCATGGGAGAGAACGTTATTGAATGAAAATGACAACAGCTTGACTTCAGATGGAATTGGACTATTAAAAATTGAGTTTCCAGGAAAAGTAGGCACTGATTTCTAGAAGGAAACTAACTCCTTACCGAAACTATTTATTGAGCCAATATGGCTGGTTAGCATCTTCCCTAGTACAGAGTAACCCAGCGCAGGGCTCCCAGACGTGAGCTGAACTGAGTGCACATGGTCAGACTGCAAGGGCACTGATGAGGCTACTCTGAAAGCTGGCTGTCCCTGTCCTCCAGATGAGGACCACCCCGATTCTATCCCAGGGGCCTGGTCCATTCCTCCCATACTGCAATGGTCACGCATTATACAAGGTACCCTGCTGCTTCCCCACTTCAACTACTCTGCAAGTCGATTACAAAAACTTGTTTTTTTTTTAAAAAAAAAAAAAAAAAAGAAAAGAGGCTCACGTTATCTCATCCAGGCTGCCCGCCCCAGCCCCCCAACTGGAGGCATGCCCGGTGGGGGAATGGGCGGGGGCACAGGGGGCTGTCCTCCAGGGGGCACAGCAGGAGGTGGGTAGCTGGCTGGTGGCAGGCCCAAGCCTGGAGGAGGGTGAGGGGGGACTGCGTGGGTAGGGGGCAGGCGTGGGGGTGGGGGTGGGAAGTTGGGGTTATAGGTGGGTGGGGGTGGGGGGTAGCCAGGAGTAGGAGGTGGGATGGCAGGTGGGGGGAAGGAGGCCGGGGGAGGAGGCACAGGTGGCGGAGGTGGGTTGGGTGGGTAGACATGGGGGTGGTAGGGCAGGTGTGCAGGCGGGCCGTAGGCGGGGGGCAGGGCACCATAGGAGGGCCCCTCGGCCTTCATCATGGACTGCAGGCTCTGGTAGCCCTCTCCAGACATATAGGAGCTGGTGGTGGACATCCCGGTTATGTAGCTGGAGGGGGGTGGGGGCGGGGGCCGGTGTGGCAGCGGTGGTGGCTGGTGCACAGGAGCCGGGTGGGCCGGAGGAGGAATCTGGACTTTGGGGAGGTCAGTGGCATCCACAGGGCCTGGTGGCTCAGCCTCACCTAAGGCAGCAGCGAGGGGAGGCTTCCGGTCTGCAGGAGAGAGATGCGTCAGTGCCTGGCCTCTGCCAGCAACGGCTGCTCTTTCAGTGCCTCCCGGCCCTTCGGGCCATCTTTAAAGAGGAGCAGGGAGCAGCTGCCACCTCTGTGGCCCAACACATGGGCCCATGCCCCATGTCCTGATGCCACCAGATATCTCACCACCATCTGTCAAAAAGGCCCTCCGCTCTGTCTGGGATGACCTGGGGTTTTCCTTCCCTCAGCCCTGACCACACCACCCACAGGCAGTCTCGGCAGCACACAAAGCCCCCTTGTGCCCTGGCCCCGGCCCCTCTTCCTCCTGCAACAAGCGTGGGGGCTCTGTTTTTCTGCCCGTTTCTGCCTTCAGAATCTGAGCCCAGGAGTCAGGACCATAATGAACTCCTGTCTGTAGCACTGGCATTTTTCAGAGAGCCTCAGAGTTATTAGTCAAATGAACTGATGGCATTAAAACAACTCTGTACAAGCCTCTGGCACTCCCAATGTATCCATCAACGAAGCAATTGAGGTTCTACTCAAGACGGGCTACATACACCCCACTGCATGCTCTCAGGAGCAGTCTCCTTGAGAGGAGTGTGTGCATGCGTGCTGTGTCTGCGTGTGTTAACGGGGACAGGTGGTACCAGGTGTTGAGAACTCCCGAGATACCCGTGCTCAGAACCAGCCACAGGCCCCTCCCGAGCCACCTCCCAGCCCATGAGCTCTCACGCCCACTTCCACCAAAGGCTTATCTACACGTTTTGGCCTGTGGTCCATTGGTCACCATCAGACCCCTGGAAAAAAATGTTGATACACCCACCACAGAGAGCCAAACAGAATGAGTGTCCTTTCCCAAGGCAGCCCAAGAGACAAACCATAGGAGCAACATGAGAAGGACACATGGCTCCAGAGAAAAGCACAAAGAGGGCAAAGACCATCAGAGGCCTCTGTTCCCCCAGCACTTGGGCTGGGCGAGGCACAGCATGGCGTCCTGGTTGTGTAGACATGGACACTGGTGCACAGCCTGTCTGATCTCGTCAAAGTGAGCATAAGCGGGATTTCAGGTCAGCAACAGGTGTGCCACTGGGGCCCGCCTGTGCAGACCAGTGCCCCCCAGTCCACCAGGTCGGAAGGTCAGACATGCCTGACCTTAGAGAACTGGCTTCGGCTCCAGGTTGGGGCCGGGTGCCCTGGGGTTCTGGAAGCTGACTAAAAAAGAGGTGCAGAAAAGTGCCAACACCCTTTAACGCTTCCTTTGTGTCACTCCACAGCCACCTGCGCCCACAGGCCTGCTCCTCCACCTCGCAGAAGCCAACTCTTCCAACACTCAACCCCGAGGCCTACATCTTCAAGTCACCAGTGCGCCCGCCCTTGTCCTTTGTGACTGAGCTAGAACAGCAAGTGGGGGTCTGTCTCCCTTTGGCACCCCATTCCCTCTCTGCACACTTGCTCCTGACCCAAGTGCCACACACGGCCACCAAACTGCCCCCTAAACATCCCTGCTGACTTGAATGTTTCTTCCCTCAGCCTAGGCCTCCCAGGAGCTACGCTTCCTTCCCTTCGTTACTGCCCAGCTTTGCTGCCTCCACCTTCGGAGGCACCTTGGCTTCCAGGCCCTGCTCTCTTCACCATGGCCTCCAGGCAGTGGCTCTGGCTCCCAGGTCTCACTCAAGTCCCAGGCCTACTCCCGGCCGGCTATAATGGGGGAGGGAGCAGAGCTCTGAGGCCTTCACAGCAGCTCCTCCCCGAGCAAGCCGCCTGTCTGTCTCCTCAGTGCAGGGGCAGCCCCAGACTTGGACCAGGGGAACTGCACCTGGCAAGGTGCTTCCTAAATGCTCCATGAGCAAGGTTCATATTGAATTGGGGGTTTTGGGATTTGGCCCAAAGTGGAAAATGATACCTCTGTCCTCCCAACGCAGAAACACTATCATGATTGAGTGGAAACAGAAATGTCTGTGGCACATCTGTTAGGGACACACGGTGCTGTGAGCCCCAGTGTGAGCCACGTGCACCGACCAACAGTGAGTGCAGCAGGCGGGAGAAGCCGACAGAGGCTCGGAAGCCTCCGGAGCATCAGCCACCTTTCGGAAAGAAAGCACAGGTCACTCCGGCCTTCTCTAGTGCTTCACCTTCTGAAATGGTCAATGGAATGCCACAAGCAAAGAATGCCATCTGCTTTCCAGCTTTTCTCCTCTATTTCCACTGGGATTGGAGAGGCTTTCCGGCGTGCCACGCACCTGTGGAGAACTTCTGACTCTTTCATTTACTCTGTACAACTGCTTCTCCGTCCAAATGCACTAGGACGACACCCTGCCGACAGGAAGCAGGTGTGGGAGGCCGGAGCCTAGCACCCACAGTAACCCTGCCTCCATCTGGATAAACGCTCAGCTGGCAGGGTTTGGCTTTCTTTCCTAAAACTGATTCTAATACAATGTGTAGTTTAGCATTTCTGGTTGTGAGAGATCCGAGAATAGTCAGATATACTTAACAATTTACAACATTCTCAAACTATCTGGTGAAAATGAGAAGTTTTTTTTTCTTAAGACAGAGTCTCCTCCTTACCCAGGCTGGAGTGCAGTGGTGCCATCACAGCTCACTGTAGCCTCCACTGCCCAGGGCTTAAGTGATCTTCCCATGTCAGCCTCCTGAGTAGTTGGGACTATAGGCGTGTGCTACCACACCTGGCTGATTTTTTGGACAGGGTCTCACTTTGTTGCCCAGGCTGACCGTGAACTCCTAGGGTCAGGTGATCCTCCTGCCTTGGCCTCCCAAAGTGCTGGGATCATAGACATAAACCATTGTGCCCGGCCCGAGAACAATTTTTCAAAGATTGCTGCCCATGGCTGACGCTGTAAATCTGGGCCCCACAGTCCCCCTTTTCTAAGCTCCCAGGACCTGCTGTGTCCATCATTCAGCAGCAATGTGCACAGCTGGCCAAGGTGCTTCAGCAGATGCTCACCTGGAGGTGGGTGGGCTGGAGGCAATGGTGGGTGAGTGGTCTCAATCTTGGGAATTTTAGGTGGTGGTGGTTCTGCAAAAAAAGAAAAGATTAGAAACGACTCAACTCCTTCCCATGACTAAGCATGTCATAAAGAAAAGATCAGAAACCACTCCAACTCCTTCACATGACTAAGCATGTCATAAAGATCAGAAACCACTCCAACTCCTTCACATGACTAAGCATGTCATAAAGAAAAGATCAGAAACCACTCCAACTCCTTCCCATGACTAAGCATGTCATAAAAGATCAGAAACCACTCCAACTCCTTCACATGACTAAGCATGTCATAAAGAAAAGATCAGAAACCACTCCAACTCCTTCACATGACTAAGCATGTCATAAAGATTAGAAACCACTCAACTCCTTCACATGACTAAGCATGTCATAAAGATCAGAAACCACTCAACTCCTTCACATGACTAAGCATGTCATAAAGATCAGAAACCACTCCAACTCCTTCACATGACTAAGCATGTCATAAAGAAAAGATCAGAAACCACTCCAACTCCTTCACATGACTAAGCATGTCATAAAGAAAAGATCAGAAACCACTCCAACTCCTTCACATGACTAAGCATGTCATAAAGATCAGAAACCACTCCAACTCCTTCCCATGACTAAGCATGTCATAAAGAAAAGATCAGAAACCACTCCAACTCCTTCCCATGACTAAGCATGTCATAAAGAAAAGATCAGAAACCACTCCAACTCCTTCACATGACTAAGCATGTCATAAAGATCAGAAACCACTCCAACTCCTTCACATGACTAAGCATGTCATAAAGATCAGAAACCACTCCAGCTCCTTCCCATGACTAAGCATGTCATAAAGAAAAGATCAGAAACCACTCCAACTCCTTCACATGACTAAGCATGTCATGAAGAAAAGATCAGAAACCACTCCAACTCCTTCACATGACTAAGCATGTCATAAAGAAAAGATCAGAAACCACTCCAACTTCTTCACATGACTAAGCATGTCATAAAGAAAAGATTAGAAACCACTCCAACTCCTTCACATGACTAAGCATGTCATAAAGAAAAATGTGCTGGCAGAGATTTCTTTGGGAGAAAAAGCACAGAGATGAGCAAGGCTTTAACTGAAGAAGGTTCTCAGCTAAACCATCATGCATGAATCCTGTTAACAAATTGAATGCTACCTCCCTCCAAAAGACCTGCGAGCTTCCACAGGTAGCCCATTCTCCACTCTACCTAAGTTCCCTTGCTGACCACTTCACACTATCCTTCCAACAATGTGAGGCCAGCAGAGCAACCTCTTCATGATCATGTATTACCTATCTGGAGTCCTCCCTGGTACAGAGACACCAAGAAAGGTCCAGAGTAGCAACATCATGTCACTCAGTCCCCTGGGGGTTCACAAGAGAATCTCTACCTTTCTGTAATTTATTTACTCTCTCCCAAATACTGACTTCCCATTGGCAGCATGTCAGAAGCAGTGCATTAACTGGGGTCAGAAGAGCTCTGGAGGCCGACACGCTGATGGCAGGAAGAATGTGCTGCTCATAAAAGCCCAGCAGTCGGGAGCCCTTGAGGGAAACAGCCCACCCTTCCAGGGTCAGGCAGCGGTATGTAGCCAGTGTCCACTAGGTCTCCAAGGCAGCCCACGGGAAGTCCAATCTCTTCCATGTAAGAAGAGAGCGTGCACATCCCAGCTGAAGAGCCCTGTCTTTCTGTTTGCATGTTGAGGCTTTTCCTTCCTGAAATGTACACCACTCAGATCTGAGTCCCCTCTCTGGATTTCCTCGATCTCAAACACAGGCTCGATTCAAGGTCCAGGGACCTCCTCTCTCTTCACCCTCTTCCTCAGAGTCCAAAGCCACTCTAAGTGGACAACTACAAACCTACATTTCTAGTGTCTATCTTGCCACCAAAACCATGGCCCACCCCTAGACCCATTGATCAGCACCCTGCACTCCACCTTTTCCCTCTGCCTCCTGTAGCTGGTATTGCTCTCACTTCAGGAACCCACCTCCTCCCGTTTTCCACAACTGGTAATAGTTAGCTGCAGCTGTCTACATCAGGGCTGTCCAACAGCAGCATAACCGAGAGCCACGTATCTACGATTTTAAACTTTCCAGGAGCCACTTTAGTTTTTGAGACAGGGTCTCGCTGTCACCCAGGCTGGAGTGTAGTAATCATGGCTGGCTGCAGCTTCAACTGACCAGGCTCAGGGGATCCTGCTACCTCAGCCTCCATAGATGCGGCACCACCACGCCCAGCTGATTTTTAAATTTCATGTAGTGATGGGGTCTCCCTACACTACATAACATTGCAGGCCCAGGCTGGCCTCGAACTCCTGGGCTCAAATCATGCCTTGGCCTCCCAAAGTGCTGGGATTACAGGCGTGCCAGGAACCACTTTAACAAGTAAAAGGAACACTCCTGCCTAGGCACCAGAGCAGGACTGGGGAAAAAGAAAAAGGATGAAAATTTATTTAACCCCATAGATCTAAAATTTTATCTCAACATGTAGCCAATATAAAGCTTTAGTAATCAGAGGTCTCACATTCTCCTTTCTTGGAAATCTCTGTGTATTTTGCGCCGACGGTGCTGTGGAATTTGAGCCAGCCACATTTTGAGTGCTCGTAGCCCTCTGCAGCCAGTGGCCTGCACAGCACAGCGCAGCTAAGCTCCTCCATGAAGCTGCCTCTGGACCCACCCTTTCTGCTCCGTAGCCGAGGCCACCATGTTTCACCACACTTCCCATGGGTGTCAGCAAGGTTCTCCCCATTCCTAACCACTTGCTGTATTTATTGCTGCCAGGGGACTCGTTCTCAAATGCATTTAGACTCTTCCATTTCCCTGCTAAATCTGCAATGGCTTCCCCTGCCTCTGCAAAACTCATAGTCCTCCAGGTGAACTCTGATCTGGTCCTAACCCACATTTTAGACCCTATCAGAAGCTACTGCCTTTCAATCTGTCACATTCCGGGAAGACTCCTCTCAATTTCTCCAAGATTCTTGATTCTTTTGCTCACTTTTGTCCTTCCACCTTACTGCTCCATGCATCCCCTCTGCTCCCCCTGCTCAAAGGCAACTCCTCCTTCAAGGTCATATGTAGCTTGCTTCCTGCCCCACTGACAGACCTGCACATCAGCTCATCTCAAATGCATTCCATGTGGCATGGAGCACAGCCCATTCTTGTGTCTCACATTTAATGCCTGTCAATTTGAAGCTAATTAAAAAATTCACCTGTAGGCCGGGAGCGGTGGCTCATGCCTGTAATCCCAGCACTTCGAGAGGTTGAGGCAGGCGGATCACCTGAGGTCAGGGGTTCAAGATCAGCCTGGCTAACGTGAGGAAAACCTGTCTCTATTAAAAATACAGAATTAACCGGGAGTGGTGGCACATGCCTGTAATCCTGGTTACTCAGGAGGTTGAGGCAGGAAAATCACTTGAATCTGGGAGGCGGAGGTTGTGGTGAGCCGAGATCGCACCATTGCACTCCACCATGGGCAATGAGAACAAAAGTCCATCTCTCTCACACACACACACACACACACACACACACACACACACACACACGTCACCTGTACTGAACTCATCATTCCCTCATATATACTGAAAAAGAAAAAGCTCTATCATAACTGGAAGATGTCACAGCAGTTTGAGGAATAATTCACTGGAACTAAGAAACAAGTAACAAAGAAACAGAAATGAGTCAACACGGTCTGTGCCTTCAAAGAATTCAGTATGATGGGCGGACTGACCCTATGACCAAACGTTTCTAACTTTCTGTTCTGTAACTGTTCCAATTTTACTCATTCCTTCTGTTTATTCCAATACAGACATGAACTAACTTTGGGTTCTAGACTTGTGACACCCCCTCAACCCAAGTGTGTTTAAGAGAGGCCTGGCCTGCAAATGCAGCCGGGCCGGGCTGGGGCGGGCCGTGGCTCTCTGGGCAGCACACCACCCACCGACTGTGGCTTGGTGCTTGGGAGAGGACTCTGCTGCTGTGATGGGGGTAACTCATCTCTAAAACAAAAACCGCAGCAACAGTTCTCCTACACCCATCATTTTATTTTTATATATGTTACTGCGTACATTTTTCTTGCCAACAATGTTTTCTGTATGACAGCTTCGTAAGAGCACAGCTTTAAACTGTATGCTCAGGTGACAGACAGTGCAGTTTTGCTGGTGGAAAAGTTCTGGATGAGCCCTAAAGTTATGATTTAAGGCCAATTTAGATCTGAAAGGAAACAACACTGGCTAAGAATAAAGTTCTGCATACGAACACATACAACTAGAGAACAGAACATCAGAACAGGAAATTACCTGCTGCTTTGTTCTCTTCTTTGGGAGACACAACCTGTGACAAAAGAAATATACAACTGTTAACTGGGATCCTGAGTATGACGAGAAAAAATGGATTATCCAGGTACCACCAGAAGCAGTGACAGCAGTCACTGTGAATAGCCTCAGACAAAAATTATTTATGGCCTAAACTTTCAGGGCAAACCATCGCACCTACCAGATAGTCATTTCTGCTCCCCTCCTCTTTCCATTTACCAATATAAGACAGAATGACTAGCTTTCCTGAAGGGTGGTTTCCAAGTCACACTAAGTTTCAGGACCACCTGGGTGCAGGAAACAGTCCACTGTTTGGGGTCAGGCAGCTGCACAGAAGCAGCATGCACAATGACACTGCTAGGCCCCAGCAACGACACGCTGACAGGCTTCAGAACCCTGGCAGGGACGACACAGGCAGCAGGGCTGGAGCTGGGCAGAGGGCCCTCCTGGTTCTCAGAGGCAGCCTGTCCTTGGAGCACCTTCATTTTCAGGCTCCCCGCCAACCACAGCCTGTGAGTTTGGGTGGATCACCCCTGCTTCTGGCATTCCCTGCGCTCGCTTAGAAATGAGAACAGTGCTCAGGTGTTGCTGCCACCTGGAAAGCCCGCCCTGCTCAGGGCCTACACTGGCCTACTCACCACGGCTCGCTTAACCTGTCGGGGAGAACTAGGCTGTGGAGAGGGTTTCTTGGGCTGCTGGGCTGGCTGCTGCTGCTGGGCTGGTTGCTGGGGGTCCTTCTGCTGGGGCTGGGATGGTTCGGAGCCTTGAGACGGTTGTGACTGTTGTACTTGCGGCACTTGTGGTGTAGGCTGAAGAGATGGGGGCTGTTGCAGCTGATGGGGGGTGTGATGAGGCATCTGTTGTTTTCCTTGTGAGTAAAGGTCCAGGATTTGGTGGCATATGTCTAAATGATAGCCAACAATTACATTGGACACAAATTAGCATTTTAAATAAAATTGTACCTGGATAAAGAATCAGTTATGATATCCCCAGAAGTACCTAAGCATGAATCACATCTGCAACTCACCCCATCTTGGTTGTGCACAAGACTGGTGTGCATTTTTAACTCACCAAAAGTATGTGCTTGGACACTCTTTTTAGATAATTTAATTAAAGATGCTTCTGAATTATTGCTTACCTATGTCTATTTGGAAAAATCCACTCTTGGGACTCAGAGTACCCTTGCAAGACTAAGCTAACCATGGAACACCCTCACAAGAAAGCTTAGCATGCCCGATACCTTCCAAAACGTCGACTGGGACATCTTGAACAAACTGCTCCCACCATCTCCTATACATGGGTTTCGAGGTCCATTCTTGTATTTCGAATTTGCACAAACGTCCTGCGAGATACATCACTGCTACCGCTATGATCTCTGGTTCCCACTGCAGTGACAAGGTGGTGCAGAGACTAGTTCAACAAGAAAAAAAAGGTTAGATTATATGATCTAACATTTATGATTAAACCAGTACATGAAGATGCCATAACTAACCATTAATTTGCTCATCCGCCCCTAAATTTAATTAAAGTACTATACATAAAAACACTCAAGTCTTTGGTCTTCTAAAGGTACCCAAGTTACTTGAACCACAGTTAGTAATTTATCTATTCCTTAAAGTATCAGAAGAATTCTCTAGCACATCCAAAAATTGCTACATCATGAAATACAAATGAAAATGAAAACGTCTTACGCTATTTAAACTGTTGAAATCCTAGCCACTCAACTGTTTCTTCAAATGAAATCTTATCGGGGGAAGTCAAATGTGAGAGAAGCTTCATTGACTGCGGTGGGATGGGGCCGACAGCCACTCTATCCACAGGCATTCTGTTTCCCATCATGGCACCTCATTAGATCCCTGGCCTCTAAAAAGCATGTCAAGGCTCCAAAACTTTTATACCAGGAAGTATGTTTTTGCAGAACCAAATGGGCTCTAAGTATTTCGTTTTCAAAATTTTCCAGTGTATTGTTTTGGACTTCTGTTTCAGACTGGTGGTAAAACTTCAGCATCTCACACCACCGTGACACACGAGGGAGGAGGAAACCCTCTGCTGGGAGGAAGCAGGTGACCTGGACTTCAGCCCCAGCTCTGCCACTAACTGGCTCTGCAAGCCAGGGCAAATCAGTTTCTTCCGACAGAAAATGAGGGGTTTAGATGAAATGGCCCATAAAGTCTCTGCCTATTTTAAAATACTATAATTAAACAACGTTTGAACATGTATACCTGTCATTTACAAATGTCCATGCCATTTGAACCAACTTTTGAATTTTGTTTTTATCACCTAGAAATGGGGGGAAAAAAAGGGTAAATTAATAGCAATAGAAAAAAAAATCACAGGCAGCAGCAAGTATTTATTGAAAACCTACTACGTGTTCAGCACCACTCAAATACACAGCAAAGAGCTTTTACCTGGGAACGAGGATGAATGATGTGGGTCCATGTCCTACCCCTTCTTCTTCCTCATGACCTACGTCGAACCACCATGTATGGAAAACCTGGCTCCAAGGCTAAGTTTATTAGGCTATTTTAAAAATTCTGACTCATTTTCCTGCCTCTCATATCACTCGGCAACTGGATGGCAGAGCTTGTTTATACATAAAAGGGAACAGTATTAATGGCTGCAGTACTGAATTGACTGAGCAAACCACGTCCTTGGTATTTTATACATCAAACTTTGTTTCCTCTTTTGAGAAGCGTAATCTGAGTGTCATCAAATTATAAAAACTTGATTTCAGAATGAAAAAATTCTTCTGAAAATCTGTCTTCTTACCTTTGAGTTGCTTTGCATATTTGAGTAGGAACTGGTACGGATGTTCCACCTGTAGGTCAAACTTGATGGTCTGCAGTAAGATTCTCTCCAGAACCATTACTTCCTCCTAAAAATCGACCACACTTTAGGATAGTAATTACAATCACAGGTCTCAAGCAGCATTACAAAAGTGAGCTTTCCCATCTATTTATTCTCTCTTGAACTTAGATTTTAGCAACTGTTTTCATTCCTTTCTCTCCCATTCAGACTTTTAACATGCTCAGAGACACTGATAAATTCTGAAAATATCTCAAACAAGAAGACACATCAGAGGGTTAATGTAAGAACCCTGAACACTGAAAACAAAATAAAGATCCTTAAAAACATTATTATCTTCGATACATACAAGAGTCTCCCTTTACAGAACAGAGCTTTATGTTACTGACGATTTGACTACACTAATTTCTTTCAAGACCTCGAATTTTACAAGTGCAATCTTTTAGGAATATTCATTGAAAACATTTTAAGCAAGAAAGAGTTTCTGATAGCCTCATGAAAACTCAGAAAGAGAAGTTGTACCAGTGTGTGTGTGTTTGTATATACACTCATACTTATGTACACACATAGTGTATTATGTGTCAATGGGGGCAAATCAATTTTGTGTTTAAATCTTTATTTGAAATAAACTGTCCCAACATCACCTACTGACTGATCATTTCCAATTTTATTTAAAATGCCACCTAAATCACCTGCTAAACTGTGTGTATGTCTGCATACACACGCACTATCTTTCTGTTCACTGGTCTGTCTACTGCTGTACCAGGATCAAAGGGATCTGGGTGGGAAACCATAGCTCCAGTATTACTTCTGTTTTTCAAACGTTTCTTGGTTCTGCATGACCCCCTCACCCAAATTTTAGTAGCCATTTTACTTATTATCACTCCAGAAAACACACATACTACTAATATTCTCATTGGGAACTCACTGAGGATTTACAGAATAATTAGGGAGAATGGAGATTTTCAACCATATTGAATTTTCCTTCTAAAAATTGATTAATTAAATGTTTTCAGTCCTTTAGTTGTTTTAAAGTCCTCCCCACCCCACTAACGAGGTTTCCACAAGGTACCCTTGGGTATTTTACTGCTGCTATCGTAATGGAGTGTCCTTAGATGATACTCTCTAACTCATGTCTTGAACTCAGCCTCAGTAGAGTGGAACTGTACCCACAACTTAAAGACAACCTAAAGCACAGTCAAGACACTGTGTCGGGAGGACAATTCCGGAGAATTCCTTGTTTGGCATCAAAGAAAGGGCGTTGTAGAGGACTGTAAATCTCATCAAAAGGTGCACAGACCCATGGTCACTAGCTTTTTTTAAGAATGTGGTATTATTTTACAGGATATGAAGATAAGTCTATAATGATTTATTATTCCAAATTACATGGCAAGATTAAGGTTTTTCAACCCTAGTTTCCCAAGTATTTTCTCATGAAAGTTTTAAAAAATCTTAGCAACTTTCACACAGTATAAAAAAAATTGGGCCGGACATGGTGGCTCATGCCTGTAATCCCAGCACTCTGGGAGGCCAAGGCAGGTGGATCACTTGAGGTCAGGAGTTCACGACCAGTTTGGCCAACATGGTGATACCCCATTCTCTACTAAAAACACACAAAAATTAGCTGGGCGTGGTGGCATGCACCTGTAGTCCCAGCTATTTGGGAAGCTGAGGCAGGAGAATCGCTTCAATTCGGAAGGCAGAGGCTTCACTGAGCTGAGATTGTACCACTGCACTCTAGCCTAAGTAACAGAGTGAGACTCTGTCTCAAAAAAAAAAATTATTTTTTTTCTTTGCCTGTCATTGTCACCACCTGCTTCCCAGAAGCTTCAGCATTTCCTCTAAATTTAGAAACAATTATTTTTACCAAGTGCACCAATGGGCTTGCGGGCCGTAGCCCATATACTGTTACAGGATAGCCCAAGGCCTGCCTTCCCTCTGTGTTCCAAATATTCAGGTGTTTGAGCAAACATCATTCCTCAGGAAAGCTTTCCTTCAGCCCTGTATTTATCCGGGGGCTTGCCTGGTCCCTGGGTGGAATGCTATCACAGCACTTAAATGATCTTTTAGAATGTGTACCACAACTAACAATCAAGTAGTTACATACTCATTTGATTCAAATGTATCCTGCCACTCAACTGTGAAGTCCATGAGAGCAGAGACCGTGTCTGTTCGTGTCTCATGTCTAGTGCCTAACTCAAAGGCTGAAACAAATACTGAATATTACAGGGAAAACCACACAATTAAAACAAAGCTAATGAAGGCAAAACAAGTTTTCATGTGACCCATGATCTTATTTTTCCTAATTACTTATACTGCCTCCCCAAAATAACTGCCCTCCTCTCTGCCAAGGAAAACATTTTCCACAATGTCTTCACTGCTCCCAGATCCAGGCGGTTTTCCTTTGGCCCCTGCTCCCCAAATCGTGTCAGGGAAGACTGCATAAGATAGAGAGGAAGGGGGCAGGCTGCAAAGTCCCCCTCACCCATTCAGGTCTAACTGCTACGGTGACCCTCCTTTTCTTATTTTCTGGGGCACAGGAGCCGCAGAACTCCTACTTCACTGTGCCTGGGTCAGGGCTTGGTTTCCTGACTTCATGGTACAGTGGGTAAAGGCTGAAAATAAAGGGGGCTTCTCCAAGGCACCCTGGGATGGCAAACCAGCAGCTGCCATGAGTCCTCGCCCTGCCATGGTCCCAGATCTGTGTGATGCCTTGTCCTTAAGCAGGGCTTGCCAGCCACAAGGTTCACCTGCCTGTGTGACCAGGGCCTGACTGAGCTACAGCATGTTCCTACCGTCTGACTAATCACATCAGAACACAGGGCCCCACTACTCAGTAAAAATCAAATACTCATGCGCATTGAAAACATTATCTGATGGTGAAATTGTATCTAAAAAACTGTTTTTTGGTAACTGTTATTATGAGTTCCTAATAGGTTCAAATTTTTATAAAGAGGTTGATGAATTTATAATTAAGTTCAAAGGAGTTACCTGCATTGGCAATACTTAGAAAATATTAGTGTTAATCACACCCACAATATAAAAGTGTTCTGGGCCCTTGTTAACTCCTCAAGGCAATGAGGATGAGTATACATTTTGTATATACATACATACTGCTCCGCAGAGAGAAAGATAACTATTGTGAGACAATACACGCTAGTTAGGAAAAACACCGTGAATGGTGCTGAACTTCATCGCTCTAGCTTTGCTTTAACTGATTTAGAAACTTCCTCTTAACAATAGTTTGACATTTATTCCACGAGTGCTTGTTGAATGCCTACTCTGTCCTGCCACTGTAAGAGGCACTAGACAGACAGTCTTTCAAACTCTCATGCATCTTATGACTGAGAAGGGGAGGGAGTTACGTGTGTGGTAATTTGATAAAAGTCTATCTAATGGATGCTACTATCTAAATGCATTCACTAAGTGAAAGAGACCAATCTGAAAAGGCTACATCCTGTATGGTTCCAATTCATTGACATTCTGGAAATGGCAAAGCTATAGAGACAGTAAAAATATCAGTGGTTGCCAGGGGCTAGTGGGGAGAAGGAGACAAAGAGGTAGAGCATAGAGAACTTTTAAGGCCATGAAAACAGACTATATGATACTATAATAGTGGCTTCATGTCATTATACTTATGTCCAAACCCACGGAATGTATAACACTGGAATGAACTCTCATGTAAACTTTGGACTCTGGGTGATGATGTGTCAATACAGGCTCATCGGTTGTAGCAAGTGTACCACTCTGGTGGGGAGTGCTGAAAACGGGGGAGGCTGTGCATGTGTGGGGTAGGGGGTACATGGGAAATCTCTGTACTTACCATTCATTTTTTGCTGTGAACATAAAACTCCTCTAAAAAAATAGTTTTTTCTTCCCCCTGAGAAGGAGTCTTGCTCTATCTTCCAGGCTGGAGTGCAGTGGCATGATCTGAGCTCACTGCAACTTCTGCCTCCCAGGCTCAGCCAATTCTCCTACCTCTGCCTCCTGAGTAGCTGGGACTACAGTTGTGTGTCACCCGAGTAGCTTTATGCCCAGCAAAAAGTAATGCATACTTTATGCCCAGCAAAAAGTAATAAAGATTTTTTTTAAAAAAAGTAATATTAATTTTTTCTTATATAATAGAGATGTGGTTTCGCTACGCTGCCTAGGCTGGTCTTGAATTTCTGGGCTCAAGCAATTTGCCCGCCTTGGCCTAAATAAAGCATTTTTGAAAATCTATTTAATTGCAAACTGTGATAAATGTCATGAAGGATAATTAACAGGCCCTACAGGGGTTGCAATAAGGGGAACTTGATGAGAATGGGAGTGGGGGAACACTGCCACGGGTCCCTAAAAGTGGTATTTTAAATATACAATAAAAGGATATGTACAATTATTTGAGCACCACTTGCTGACACTGGCGTGAGCTGTATGGAAAGGACAGGATGGGTGGCATGACCAGTATCAAGCTCTGGGTGCACAAAAATGCTGCAAATGTTGATACCTTCCAACACTGTTTGGGAGTAAAAGACACACAACATATATAGGCATGTGTATGTGTACATACAGCACACGCACTTTTGTTTGACCGGGAAGCTAGCTGGAGTTGTAATCCTGCCATCACCACTGCAGCTAAGAAGTAGGGTCCTAATGGCCATTAAGGGGATTTCTGCTCATACCCATGAAATGTGTCATTGCCCCAGAGTGCTCAGAATACTGTTGGGCACATAGGGAAACTGAGTAAGCGGAGGCTACACGGTCTTCCCTCCTTTCTTACAAAAGCACAAAGTATCTTCTACAGAAGGCCCTCCTAGGAACTCAAGACTGGCAGACACAGGGGCCACAGGCATTGCCAACATGTGGGACTGTATCACAAGGCTTCCACGAGGAATCAAGCCTTGAAGGCAGAAGTTATTGTTCTTACCTTTGGGTCATCTCCAAACTGGCCAAACTGTACATCATTTAATAAACTACGAGCTGTTTTGATGATATCTTTACATTTTTTTGGTGTTTCTTCTACTTTCCCAGCCAGAAAGAGGCAACAGGCTCCTGTCACCTAAAAGGGAAACAAAAGCTCTCGATTTCTGTCATCAAAGATCACAAAGAAACAGACTCACATCTTGGCCTTCGTAATAAACTGGCCTTCCTCATTCCTTTACTTTCCTTTTTCTCATTCACACATAGTCTGATACTCTATAAGCTTGAAGAAAATTTTATACATATAAATCCCCAAAACTCTAGCTTCACAAACTATTTAAAATTGAGTTTTAACAAAATGTCACATAAACAAAGAAAATGCCAAAAAGGAATATAGTCACATAAATAAATTTTCTTCTTATATTCCAATCTGAAATTAACTCCCTAAACGGCCAGGTTTGCTGTGGAAAAAGAAAGAGCACAAGTAAATACAGTCCTGTGGAAGCCATCTCAACCCCACTGCCCATGCTTCCTTTTCTTTCTCCTCTGGTCTGAATGTTTCCGTCCTAATTCCCAAGGTGGTGCTATGAAGAAGTGAGGTCTTGGGGAAGTGATTCTGAATGGGATTACTACCTTTCTAAAAGTGGCCTAAGGGGCTTGTTCCTCTCTTCCACCATTTGAGGATGCAGCAAGAAGGAGACTTTCTGAGGAACAAACCCTTACCAGAAAAGGAATCTGCCAGCACCTTGATCTTCCACTTCCCAGCCTCTGGCATTGTGAAGTTAAGTTTCTGTTGTGTGTAAATTACTGGATCAAATGCGTTTTGTTACAGCAGCCTGAACTGTCTCTCCAGTTACCTGAACCTTAACTCAGTCCCTGTATCACTGGGGGCCGAACTGCTCTGTCTTCAGCTTCTCTTTGCCTGCTCCAATCCTCCCCACATGCCACTGTCCTCACATAATCCTGATCACACCAGATGTCAGACACTCTGCCAGGGGTACAAAACTGATTCCAGCATGGCCTCCTTCTTCAAGAACTTCACGAACAATGAGGAGGACACGTATACAAATCTGACTAAAATCTCAGCAAACAAATCAACACCATGACCTTCCTGTTAAGTCTGTCATTTTCACGAAACCTTTTAATAACTGGAATGATCACCCACTAAAATCAAATTTCTAAAGTCTGGCATTCAAGGCTTATCCTGCTCTGACCCAGTCTATCTTTCTACTCAGGGTCTCATCATTCCCTTCCTGCCAAATCCAGTTCCTGGCTGGGCTGACAATATGCCGCATGCTTCCCCCTGCCTCTGCTCATGTTAGCTTCTGCTGGACCACTGACCTACCCCATCATGGCATGGCTATGCCCTATGTACATTTAAGACTTACCTTACTGCTAGCATCTCCTTCCTAGCACTTTCCCTGATCTCTCCAAGATGTTAATTCATCTCCTTGAATGCCACAGCTCTCTATCAGTATTTTCCAATGCCCTCGCGTTCCATCATGTGTTCTGTGAATGTCATACCACTTACCCTAGACTGAAAGCTACTCTATTTCCCACAGAGAGTAAGACATAATGCATGTCTTGAGGAGTGACCACAGAATGAGTGATATGCCACAGACAACTTCTGTTCCATTTTGCTTTCTTGGTCTTTGTTGAGTCTCCATTATAAGCCTAAATTTATCTTGGGAAAGGTAACAAGGGAGTAAACTTTCACACAAGTACAATATGACTATGGTCCATATTGGCCTAAGTGAACAGATTTGAACATGGCTAATTGGAATAAACAAAGTTCAAACTTGATTTTGCTTATATACAGTATATACTGTATAATAATAAATACTTTCTGGAAAATATGAGAAAAAGAGAGACTATAACTAGTCCAGCAAACCATAATAACATATGACAGAGAATTACAATAAAATTCAAATACTTACATATCTTGGGAATTGCTTGAAAGAATGAAACATATAGAAGCGATGAAAATAAATTATTCCAGTTGCCAGGGTATCATAGTGTCTGCTCTGGTTAAGGACTCTAACCAATAACTTTTACAGGTTATATTCTTAGTTAAATGTAGAAAAATTATGAAGACAAACAACAACAAAATCAGTGGTAAACAGTATTAGCAGCAAAGAAAGGAGATGGGAATCTCAGTGTCAGAATTCTGGTGCGAGAATTAGCAGGTTGAAGTTTATACTTTAACACCCTTTTAGAAACACTTCACCTGTGATCTTTTTTTTTTTTTTGAGACAGCACCTCTGTCACCTAGACTGGAGTGCAATGGTATGATCTTGGCTTATTGCAGCCCAGGCTGGTCTCGAACTTGAGTTCAAGGGATGCTCCAACCTAGGCCTCCCAAAGTGCTGGGATTATAGGCATGAGCCACTGTGCCCAGCCTCAACTGTGATCTTAATAATGGGTGTCTCATATCCTCCTGGGTGGTCCCACCTCCTCAGTGGCTAAGTCTACACCTTTAAAATGACAAACCAGAAAGAGAAAAACCCCCACCAGAATAACATTCAAACAAAGATATTTAACAACTGCTCTAGAATGGAGAAATTACTATCTGTTTTGTCCACAGAATCTAATTATTTCTTGTTTGTGGGTGTGGAGCCTATCTGTAACAGATTCCAATCAGTCAGGATACAGCCCCAAACGTGTGCCCACATCAAAGATGAACCGAGCGCCCTCTCGGCGGTACCGGGCCTCAGTGGCTGGGTCAAGTCCTTCAAGCTGTGAGGGTGTATGAGCCAAGTCTTTCTTATCCCAGTACCAACATGGTTTTGTGTGGTCCAGGTTTGCTGAAGTTACTGAAGGGCTTGAATTTTCTTTATTCTCCTTCATTTATTGAAGTAGACTTGTTCTTTCCAAAAGGTTTTCTGAAAATGTTAGAATCCTATGAGAGAGAGAAAAGCAAAGTTGGGAAGGAATACTCTATACTATAAGCAATCTAATCACAAACTGTACCTGGTTTGGGATCAAGAGAAACTATACTGTCAGTTGCCAGTTAGAAGCCCAGGCTAACTCCGGAGCCAATTTAACACAATACTGTAAGGGGACTCCAGTGCTAATATTAATAAAACCCAAATTTTATGGTAATTTAAAAAGAAGAGTATACCCCCACCCCGAGATTAAAGGTTAAACCTATCTGACAAAGTTTTGGAAGAAACCAATTACATCTCACTTTCTTCTGGTTTTTCTTCACTAGACACACAGGTCCTCTAACGATGGTCCAGATTCCTTTCTTCAGTAAAACCCAGGCCTGTCTTAATCTTTGCAAAGATTTATGTTCCAAAATTAACCATCTCTTCAATCCAGCACTCCTTTTCAGTTTATTCCATGTAGGCACTTTCACTTGGACAAGCCATGGGATTGAGTCAATTCACATCTGCACAAATCACTGAGTTCAGTGATGTGAACCAAATGTTCACACCGTGATCTGGGAGTGGGTGGACGGAAGTGGTCCATGAGAGAAGGAACTGCTCTTGCTTTTTCATCCTCTTCCCTTTCTTTCATTCAGAATAAAGACATTCTCCAAAAGCTCCATGCTGAGAGAAAGAAAAGAAAAAACCAAACCAAACCAAACCAAGGATCTCATCTACAGGCCGCTGTTACAAATGAGTTAGAGACAGCAGAAATTTTCAAATGAGGGTTCCAAAAGAGCTGGCTAGACGCAGGTTAGTCTGGTTAGCAAGAAAACAGCAGCTCTGTGGTCATGTTCTGGGCCAAGGCTTCCACCAGTTCATCTAGAAACCTAATCTTTTCTGTGTACCTGTCTCATTTCTGGTGGGGAAAGTGACATGGTGGGGCTGAGTATTCTCTTCCTTGAACCTGGTAGCTCTGAAGGAAATCTGATCTTTCCTCCAAGAGGAAGAATTAAGTACCCGGAGAAAAGCTTGAACTAATAATTTACATTTCTGTGTGTGATTGATTAAACTAGGCACTGTTCAAAGGGCAGGAGGCAGACCAGTTAATTAAAACCTTAGAAAATATAAACTGTTCATAATCAGATATCACACTGAGATGCAATTCTCACCTATTGGATTGGCAAAAATCCCAAAGTTTGACAATGTATTCTGTTGGCAAGGCTACAGAGAAATAGGTGATTTTATGAGCTTCTGGTGGGAGGACAAAATGGTCCAACTCTCACAGAGAAGTTGACAGTATCTAACACAATTACATACTCACTTGCTCTTTGACCTAGCAATCCCACTGCTAGGAACTGACTCTGAAAATACCATCAGAACTACGAAATGTCACAACCATGAAACAACATGTGCACTAGGTTATTCACCGTAGTGTTATTTATAATGGCAAAACTACAAACAACGAAAACGCCCATTATCAGGGAACTGGCTGAGTAACATACAGCAAGCGCATGTAGCCAACAGCATACCCCACAGCTGTTAAAAAGAGTGAGAAAGATCGTTAAGTACTGGACGGAGAGATTTCCAGATGAGCAAGGCATAGCATAGTGTACACAGTATGTTAGCATCTATATCAGAAAGGAGGGGAGAAAACAGACATCCCTATTTTTTAATATTAAAAAAATCACGAATAGGAAATGGGGAAAAACAGGATGGAAAAGACAGGAATGGAAACAAGACTTCTATATGTATCTATCTTTTTATACAGCTTTGACTTCTTATGAAAGTTTTTATTTTAAACTAATTATAGACTTACAGAAGAACAGTAAAGATAGATGAGTTTTTGTCTATACCCTTCGCTTAGCTTTCACTGATGTAAATGTCTTCCATAACCATGGTTCACTTATCAAAAATAAGAAATTAACTTTGGTATAAGCACTACTAACTACACATCATATGTGGGCATAGGTGGTATCAGAACGACTTACTACTGGTAACCATTATCTCTTGGTTAAGATGGAGCCTGCCAGGTTTCTCACTGTAAAGTATTATTTTTCCCTTCCTATTATCTATTACCTATATCTATGATGCAAGTCACGAGGACCAGCCCACACTCAAGGGCAAGAGAATTAAGCTCCACTTTCTGGAGGGAGAGGTATCAAATAAATCGTGGACATATGTTAAAAGCACCCAGTGGTAAGTTAATATTTTGGGGGAAATATTTTACAATGCAAAATATTATACAAATGCTGGTTTCTCCTTCAAGGTTCATTTACTAATGTGAGAACTAATGTTAGCACTGGGGTGTTCTAATGCTGATAACCGTCTATTTCCTTCACTGCTTCAGCATTTCTTATTTGGAATAGTTTTGTTAATATTTGTTCTTTCTCTCCTATTTATTTATTTTAGTAAAGACATGTACTTTATTTTTTGGTTTATAATCCAATATGACCATTATTTATTTTGTTGCTCAAATTATTCCAATGTGGCCATCAGGTGCTCTTTCCACTTGACTCCCGAGTACTTTTATAATTTTCAATGTTTGAATCATGTAAATATTTAACATACTCATAAACTTAACTAAAAATAAAAAAGCAAATCTGAAAACTCAAAATAAAGCAAATGGGCAAGAAAACCACATAGAATACTGTTTCAAGTAATTTCTGATCTTGTTACATCCTTAGTGAGATAAATTCTAAGGACAAAAAGGACTGAAAAAATTTTTATTTATTTATTTATTGAATCAGAGTCTTGCTCTGAGTTATATTCCAAGGACAAAAAGAACTGAAAAGAAACCGATTTCATTTGTGTATTTATTGATTGAGTCTTGCTCTCTCACCCAGGCTGCAGTGCAGGGGCATGATCCTAGCTCACTACAGCATCAAACTCCTGGCCTTAAGTGTTCCTCCTGACTCAGCCTCCCAAAGTGCTAGGATTATGGGTATGAGCCACTGTAGCTGGCCCCAAGAAAGTCTTCAAACTTCATTAATACACTGTTGGTACTGTCATTAATTAAAACCAAATGTTAAGAAAAAAAATCTGTAATGTTAAATTTTAACTGAAGATATCAAAATAAATCATGGTTAAAAATATATCCAGATATATCCCGGTTCTCTCCTTTTCAAGTACCAAGAAGCAATGACAATCCTAATGCTGAAATCTTAACTTTTTCAACACCATTACCCTCTAAAAGGAAGCAGGGTTCTTTCCAGTCTGGGGTTGGAGCCTGCCTGGGATGTACTTACACTAATTGAAGCTTGTCAAGACACAGGACTGCTGAAGGAATGATTTGCCAGGGAAAAAAGAGACACAGGAGCCATCATGATGAGTGCTCAGCTCACTGGACAAATGCAATGTAATTTGAATAGTAAAAAGAAAAATGACTATAGTTGATCATAAAATAGTGAATATACAATCCATGTGTCCAAATAATATTAATATATAGAGAGAATAATACTTTGTTGGAGCTGACAGTAACTACCGATGATAAAATGGTACTGATGATAAAAGCTACTTTGCTAGCACTGGTATGAACTACTGTGAAATTAAAAATACAGTTTGTCCTTAACAAAATGATCGCACTTGACACCACGAAGGGTGAAAACCTGTCATTATATAGCTTCTGATGTGATTCAACGTGAAATAAGTATCACCTCCTTATTGCCCCCCAAAAGCTTAACTTCAATTCAAGCAAACCTTAGACCTAACTTCCAGTTTACAATAAATACTGGAGGTAGAAGAGTAAGTGAAATAGCACAACATGGAAACTATCAGTCACATCCAGAAGATAAGACACTATACTGAAAAACTGTCTGGTCTCTTCAAAAAAGTCAGTGTCATAAACAAAGAAAAAAGAGAGACTGTCTTAGATTTAAAAAGGCTAAAGAGGCCTAACAACAAAATGCAATGTGTGAACCTTGATTAGATCCTTTAAAAAAAAATTTCAAACAATTAGGAAATACTCAAGTATGAACTGTATTATCAGAGATATTAGGGAGGGAATTACTGTCAGTTAATTTTCTTTGGGGCTACAATGACATTGTGATTACACAGGAGAATTACTTTATTCTTAGCAGATGAAGGCTGAAGTATCATGATGTCTGCAACCTACTTTTAAATGGTTCAGCTAAAACACAACCACCTGGTAAACATGGCAAAAAATTAACATGTGTCCATAGGTAAACAAGTAGTTACTGCACTATTCTTTCACATCTTAAAAACTCGGAGAAAAAGTCAGATGAGACTGCATAGGAGACCAGGAGGGCTTCTTACAACCTTAACTTCATCAACCCCTCAATAAACAAGGAATACTTGCCTCTGTGTGGGTAGTGGTTTCATAAATTAAGACATTAGGTTTGAATTATAGCATACAAAAAGAAAAGTACACTAACTCTAAGTATGTGGTTGACGGATTTTCACAAAGTAAATACACCTGTGTAACACTATTCAGCTGAGAAACAGTACCAACATCCCAGAAGCTCTCTTCATTCTTTCCCTAGTCACTACCCTCCCAAAGATAACTATTGTGACTTCTATTTCCATCAGTTTTGCCTGTTTTTGAAGGACTGTGCAATGACACAGTACCACTCTTTAACATCTGGTTTCTTCTGCTCAATACTGTGTTTGTGGGATTCATTCCTGTTGTTGCATAAAGCAGTATTTGTTCATTCTCATTGCTGCAGAGCAGTGGTTTTCAAACCCGAAACAATTTTGCCCCAGACTGGACATTTGGCAATGTCTGAAGACACTTCTGGCTTTCCTAACTGGGGATTCGCTGCTGGTATCTAGTGTGGGTAGAGGCCAGGAATGTTGTTGCTGAACTTCCTTAGTGCATAGAACAATCCCTCCATGACAAGAAATTATCTGGCCCAACATGTCAGTAGTGCCAAAGCTGAGAAAGCCTGCTGTATGGTACAGTTTTATCCTATGAATATTAACACATTTTCATCATTCTACTGTTTGCGCATGTAAACTGTTTCTGGGGTTTGGTAAATGTTAAACATGTACCACATTCTTATAACAGAAGGCAAATGGACAGCTGGCTGAGGGAATCAATACCTCAGCACAGTTTAGCAATTTATTTACAGTTGGGAATTGCTACTTTAAGATACGTACGACTAACGGTTTTCCATGTACTTTTTCATTTAAATATTTGCTGAGCATTTACTATGAGCCAGGCCTTAATGGCATGGCAGAGAACAAGACAGGGAAGGTCTCTGCCGCAGGAAGCTTACATTCTAGTGAAAGAGACAATAAGAAATAATAATATGAATATCTTCAGGGAATGGTAAGTGCCACAAATAGTAATAAAGCACGGTAAGGGGAGAGAGAGAAACGGGGTAAGGGCTGTTTAGAGGTATGCAGAAAGAGGACCAGTTAGGAGACTATAGTAGCAGTTCAAGTAATGCCTAATACATGCCTGTCTCTACACAGTGGCAGTGGGAAAAAGGGGTGTGTGTGTCATAATTGGCCACAAGGCAAAGAATGGAAAAAGATGATTTCAAGTTTGACTAACACAGAGGGTGACAACCAAAAAGGCAAATGGATAAGACAAGAGAAAAAGCTGGTTTTGATAAGGAGGGAGGAAAAGAAGAATCTGGCTCTATAAATACTAAGCTTGAAGAACTTTAAGGTACTTTCATGGAAATACCTATCAGACAAGAGAAATAGGCCAGTTCAAG